GAAGCTGGAGGTCTGTTGTTTCAGCATCACAAGAGGACACTGAGTCCACTCAAGGCTGGGCTTGTCAGGCTGTGGAGGAGAGGGAGCCTTGGTCTCATACTCCTCAATGGTCAAACCTTTTCTAATGACAGTGACCACTGTCAGGCAGCATCCAGTATGATGAGGGAGGGGCACAAGCTTCATCCATCTACCATTAGCCCTAGTTCCAGGCTCAGATTCGCCACCAACTCCCTGACTGCTTTTGGACCAGTGGGCTGGCTGCTCTGAACCTTCCCCTCCCCAGGTGGTACATAGCTTGGCAAGTGTATTTCATGTTGTTACAACAACATTGTAACATTGGCAAGTTACAAATGGCTTACCAATTATTTATATTTATTGAGAACTTTATGTAGCCCAGATTGACCTTAAACTCACGGTGTAGCCCAGGATAACCTTGAACTCCTGATCCTTCTACCTCCATCTTCCAAGTGCGATTATAGGCCTGTGACACCTCTAGGCAGTGCTAGAGATCAGGCACTGGCTTTGTGCATGCTCGGCAAGTACGACTGAGCTACATTCACAGCCCCTACACTTTCTTTAGAATGTAATTGGGGATAAGAGGGAAGGATGGGACCTGTTTCTCTTATCAGTGATATTGTGACAGCCGAGAAGGTCCCAAAGCATGCCCTGGGAGAAGTAGTATCAGGCAAACAGAGGATCTGGTACGGAATGAGTTTGAGAAACTCATGGCACTGAAAACGAGCCATGGTTTTGCTGCAGTACTTCTAAGAACTTTGACTAAGCTAAGAATTTTGTGGAGTTCCAACAGTTGGGGACGTGTGCAGCTTTCTTCCAAACTCATCAGAACAAGGACTACCTTTCTCTTCCTTCTTGGTGTTTTGAGCCAGGCTATAGGCAGGCTGGCCTCAAACTCACGCCAATCTTCCCACTTTAGCCTTCTGAGTTGGGGATTGCAGGCTTGAGTCACGGAGCCCAGCCAAGCACCTTCCCTATGCGTTGCCTGTGACATACTTAGAGAGGACCTGCCATTGCACCCCTCTTTTCTCTTGGCTCCCAGGAAGCCCATTCCCACTGATGCTGACCCAAATCACAGTGCTGGTGAGAACTTAAGACATTTGTTCCCACTCCCTCTCCTGTGCAGGTTTTCAACGTCCAGTCCATTTTCTTGTATCGTTCAGTTCAGGCAGTCTCAGAGGTAAGGAGGTCAGGGGCTGACAGTGTCTGGACATGAGGATCCCGTGTTAGTGCTGAGTTCAGGGGAACTCTGGGTGGGACTGGGGTACAGGTCCCCTCTAGGAATCCCTGCAACATCTGTTTGTGATACTTTGTCCAGGCGATGTTGAAAGTAGGGCAAGAGGCATCATGTTTGTGTCCTGCATGGCACTGCTTAGGAAAGTACAAGTGACCGTGTGCTGGACACCACTGAGCTCCAGAAGGACTCACCTCTGCCGACACTGCGTTTCGTAGAGCTATGAGAGGCAGGAGCAGCAGGCCTTTGAGCTTTGATTGAGATGTAGTTTTAGGAGTGGGTGAGCCAGGGTCTTACTGTGCCCACACTGGGGCCAGCAGATTACCAATAAACATGCCATAGAACCTGTTTGCTGTTACTTTAAGGGATGGCCAGAGATTCATCCCAGGGAGGTTGGCGCATCCTGGAGAGGGCACAGGCTTTCTTTGAATTCAGAACCTCCTCACAAATATGTCCCATCTCTCTAGCTGGTCTAAGTAGGTAAAAAGGAAGATTAGGGAAGCGTGTCTCTGACCCCAGGTCCTTGTTTCTCTAGTGCGTGTCAATCAGGAGATAGCATGCTATCTGTGGGTAAAGAGAATCAGTGGAGTAGGTCCCAGGTGGCATTTATAACAAGGAATAGAATGGATATGCATACCCTGAGTGTGGCAGGGTGGCTGTGAGTCATGACGTGCAGAGAGATTTTGGTGACAAAGATATTACTATAGCCCATGCTCAGGGAAGCCTGGATACCCTTGGCTAGTTGATTCAGGTGTTGGCACCAACTGGGCACAGTCTATCTTCTTTCTATATATCTGTCTTGGACTCTGGGGTTCATTTCCGAGCCTGAGGTGTCCCTCTAGTGTAAAAACACACTCCAAGAAAAAGTATTTGTGATGTGCCCATCTTTGAAAGTGATATTATTTCCTGTGTGTGTGTCTGTCAGGCTCTAGGGGCGGGGCCTTTGCTGAGGGGAGGAGCACATGTCACTCCTAGAAGCTGGGGTATGTCCTGTTTGACTCTGCAGGCCAGCTGAGGAAAGAAAGTGAGGAATTGCCAGCTTTTCTTCTTATCCTAGGTTGCCATTCATGGCTGTGTGACTCAGGGCAAGTGACCTGCTCCCATTGGCCTCACTCACTTATGTACAGAGAGAGGAAAGGACCCAGTCATTTCTAAGGTCCCGTTCGTTCTCATAGTCTGTTCCAGGAAGATGTTGAAGAGCTCTGGATCTTGTGAGAAAATCCCAAGGGAAGCCAGGGTTGACTCCCAGCTTTCTACGAAAGAAAACTGTACCTAAAGGTCTGATAAGCCTGAGGGGAATCCACTAGTCAGGTTTGCAGACATTGGTGGGACAGGGCGAGTGAATGGCTGGGCATCAATCAGGGTGAGCAATGACAGAGGAGCAGGAACCAGAGCCTGGTCTCCATGGACAGCATTTATTAGGCGCCATTCTCAGTGTGAAGACAAGTGGGCAGGAGCTGCTGAAAGGGGCCAGGGCAGCCACAGCCTGGGGACTTAGGGGCTGCCCGGGTGGGTGTGGGGATGTCACCCACACATATTGCATATTCTGTGGCAGTGTGCCCAGGCATAAGGCATTGGGGAAGCAGAAAGGCTGCCTGCAGTGGGAGGGGGTGAGACAGGAAGTGACAGTGGCCTTCTAGTTCCCTAGGCAAGACCCTACAGGAGACCAGCAGTCCCCCATGCTTAGACCCCTAGGGCCACTCTGCTGCCTTCCCCACCCTCTCTATAACTTTGGTTGTGGCTCCCTCGGATCTGACGGGACTTGACCCCTCGAGGGCAGGGTCACACACAGGACAGAGGCAGCCAGCACTGCCTCCAGCCCGACATAAACACAGACAGCACCTCTCCAGGTCCTGGCTCCCATTTCCCTTGGCACACGGGCTAGCTCCTCCACACGGACATGGGATACACACAGGCCAGATTCCTTCCACCTAAGGATTTCCCAGGACCTGGAGGATGTGGTGGGGCTCTCTCTCTAGCTCCCCAAACGGTCAGGTTGGCCTTACTCAGCAGTGTGGAGCTAGGCCTGGGAACAGTGAGTGGAAGGCAGCTCTGTGGGGAGAGGTTTCCCTTCCCCCTTTTCATGGTACTGGGGATGAAACTCGGGGCTATACCCAGAGCCCCACACATACCCTTCTGTTGTCCTGGGCATTGTCCCACCTCCAGCTTGTCCCCAGTAGCAAGCCACCCTCCACCTGGGTTGTAGGTAGAGGAGGTAGAGGGCATAGCAGGCCCAATACCTTCTTCCCTCCAGAGGGGCGTTCCTGGCTGCAGTGGAAGTTATTCTAGCAACTTGGGATGCATGTACCCTGGCTTCTAGGCCAGGGATAACGTCCTGTCAGCTGTCTGGGCTGCTCTGCCCAGTCCCTGAACTCTCAAGAGTTCCAACTCCTGGCTTTTAGTCCATGAGACTCAGTCCTGCTTACCTTGGTCCCAAGGACTTCTTCCCTGCTTGTGAACAGAGACAAGGGTTCATTTAGAGCCGCAGTCTCTGGGGTAAAGAGTACCAGAGGCGGAGCCCTGGCAGTGGCTCAGGCTGGAGCTTTTGATTCTGGATTAGACCCCAGCTGCCTACACAATGTTGGGGTGCTGCCTGCAGGGGCTTTGCTTCTGAGGGCAGGCTGAGCCTGAAGAAAGAGCACTTGGGCTGGGAACGAGCCTGCAGGCTGGTTCCCCTTCAAGACACCCCGGGCAAGTAAAAAAAAATTTTTTTTTTACCTGTTTTCCTCTTCTGAAAAATGGCCATAAGAACTGCCCAGGTGACTTAACCAGAGTGTTATTACACTGAAATGAATAAGGAAGTGGGACAGGGTTTCTGGAGCTAAAAAAAAAAAAAAAAAAAAAAATCTATAGAAAACAGATGCGCAGCAGCAGCCAGGGACAGCAAAGGGGAGCCTGTGTTTCAGATTCCAAGTGCAGTCTTGAAGACTGGAGTCTCCCAGGAGCCCCTGAGAATGTTCCCAGACTCCAGGTAGCTCACCTACTGAAGTCGCCACCCCGCAGAGGTGGAAGCCACAGTTCCTGCACACACTCTGCTCTAACATCTGTGGCCTGTCCTTTTCATTGTTTTTCTATCTTGCCCTCTGGGGACTAGCTTTAGGGACTGCTGGGGTTTCCTTTTTTTTTTTCTTCCATAACTGCATAGCCATGCAAAAAACAGAAGGGAGTGGACACATAAGGTAGTGGGAGGCTGGGAGACACGGCTGGGGATGAGAGAGCCAGGTGGGACTGAGTTGGGGGTGACCTGGACAAAGACACCTTGGGCTTTGCAGAGCCCAGGGGAGGTATAAGTAGAAATGAGAGAGAGAGAGAGAGAGAGAGAGAGAGAGAGAGAGAGAGAGA